TATATATATATATATATATAAAGAGAGAGAGAGAGAGAGGGAGAGCGGATAAGCAACACATATATATGATTTAAACGACAGTGGAAAAAAAACTTTTCACTACTCTCTACGACGGTGAAAGTGACACCAGCACGCAATATGAAGCAGTAAAAGGTAGGTTCTAGTAGTAATCTCGCACGCAGAAGCCAAGGAAATTACATTAGATTGTGTTGACAGGAATTGGATCCAATTATGAGTAGTTTCACATACCACTCGCCTTCCAACCAGCTGATCCGCGCAAAAGGATTTATTATTATCATAATTCCTTGTCCATCTTCATGATATTTAAAAACTTCTATGGGTAAGGGATCTTGATGATGTAATTTTTGCTTAGAAGTCTTCTGATGAAAATCGTGAAGCTAGACTGAGTTTTCCCGATGGTATAAAGGCATTTTCCGCCGGGATTTTCCTCTCTTCTTTAGAATATAAAAAAAAAAAAAACATTTGTTCATCCCTTTGTCGCTGCCTGCCTCTCTGTCTATCAATCTTTTGGTCTGCCTGTCTGGCAATCAGGCTCCTCTCTCTCTCTCTCTCTCTCTCTCACACTCTCTCTCTCTCTCTCTTCTTTTAGCTCTCCTTTCCTTTTCCTCTTTTATTTTTCAAGTGGGGAACTGAATGGCCAAAAACATAAGAATTAAGGTTAAGAAAAAATCCTATTTAAAAACACTCTTTACTCTAAACTATATTACATCCTGTACAAGTCATCTAGCAGTCACCAGTGTGGCAAAATAACAGTGTATAACATATAATTTAATTCAATAATTTAATAATAATTTACGCAATGATCTCCATGATGATAACGGCTATGAATTGCAATGAAAACTAACCAAAACAATTTGAAACAATAGGAAATGTAAATGTATTTATTTCCCTTTTTCTGTTCACGTTTCAAGGAACAAGAATAAGTGTATTTGTATTTGTGATATCTGTGTTTTGAGTTTTTGTGTTCTTATCACATGTTATCATAGATAATTACTATCTCAAACTGAGATATCAGACTAAATACACAATTCTGTTGATCACAACAGATTTTTTTATGGTAAACAAAAAGAAAGAAAAATAACAGTGCGAGTGAAGGCAAAATGCTCAGAGAAAATATTTGGGAAATACATGATCAGTAATGATAAATGTAATAATGGCAATTATAATAATAATAATAATAATAATAATAATAACGATAACAACAATAAAAAAAATAATGATTATAATAATCATAATAACAATAACTAGTAATAATAATAATAATTTCAATAGTGATGGTAATGATATGAAAAGATTAATGATAATAATTACAATAACAATAACAATAATAATGATATTAATAATAATAATAATAATAATAATGATAATGAAAATCCTGATAATAATAACAATGATAATGATGATGGTGATGATGGTGATGATAATGGTAATAACAATAGTAATAATGATGAAAACAATATAATAATAACAATAATAACAACAATAATAATAATAATAATAATAATAATAATAATAATAATAATAATTATGATATTAATTATGATGATAATGATAATAAGAACAAAGGTGATGATAATGATAGGGGCAATAACAAAAGCATCAATAGCAACAACAATAGCAATACCAACAATATAAGAAAATATATAAACAACAATAATAATAGTGATGAAAAAAAATTCCCATTCATGAAAATCACGTTCCAGTATGATTGAAAAATTACTACACTATTAATTAGTGAAGTAAAAAATAAAAAATAAAAGATTTAAGGGAAAAATCGAGCAATTCCGTGTTTAAATATTTGGTAGTATTAAAAAAACAAAGACAAAAAATCCACACTTTCATATGAGGATTAAAAAAAGAAAATACAAGACAATCCTCACAATTCATCTTGCCCTTTCTTCTCATTTTATTTCGTTCCATTTCAGAAAATGAGTAATGACAAAAAAATGTTCATCAAGCATAAAAACAAGAAAAAAATGTACAAGAATCGATATTCTCGTAATTTCTCTGAATCTATCATATATAAATTCCTTGATTGATTAATAGACTGACGTCACAATCTGCATCTTTGGCTATACATTTGAAATCATCACAGATGCTGATGCACATACAAGCCTAAGATAACGAGAGATAACGAAAGATAACGAGAGATAACGAAAGATAACGAGATAACGAAAGATAACGAGAGATAAGAGGCAATGCAGGCTGGCACGTTTTCGAGTCTTTATTTCTATTTCTCCACAAAATGTTCGTTCTTGCCTTAGTACATTTTACACAGGGTATTTAAAGTACTGAGGAAGTATTGCACTAAACGCTGATATCTGAGAAATAAATAAATCAGTGATATTGAGCTATTTGACTGGAATTCCCTGTAATTATACAAAAAAATTAACACTAAGGATTTTATATCAAATGGAAAAATACAATTTTTAATTATAATGAAAACAAAAACTGGGATCACAATTTTTCTTCAATGGATCACGTTTATATTAACAATTTCGAAAAAATACTCAACTTCCCATTCAGATCTTATTGAATCACAAATTCATCTGAGCGCCCAATTACTATTTTGTTATCACTATCTATGCATGTTTTCTGGTTTCATTCACTCAAGTCCCCTACCATTAATCGATAATTTCCAAATTCATTTCAGTACCATTTTGGGCAAAGATAATTCTTGATCAAGAGCATTCTAAAGTAGATATCAGAATGTTTTTTACGTTTTTAAATGGAAATGAGATGTGATAAAATATTGTTATTCTGACTTAATGCTTTACGGTTAAATTTGAAACAGATAGGATAATAAATATATATCAAATATAAATATATACAAATTACACAATGGATGGTATATGCATTACAATTATCACAAAGAACGGATGAAAAAGTGTTTGGTATATTTCATATCATCAAAACAAAAACCTATACGTTGAAATATAACCATCTTTACTAATTATCCGTATTAACTTCTAAATAAATAATAAAATAACAGCTATTAATATTTTCTTTGCATAAGAAAACGTAAAACGAAACTACAGGTAAACAAGAGCACGTTCACCTGAAATCTCTCAAATAAATAAACAATGGCTCATATAAATAAATAAATAGTCAAATAAACATAACAGACGTTATATAATGCCAAAGACGACCAAACGTGCTACCATGAAGTCACTGTTATGACATTACATAAATCTGGGTCGTTTGTCATATGGTCTTAGTGTAATGGCCGAAAGGTATCATGTAAATCATTCTTTGTCGAATTCGTGTTGTACAGCCTACTCAGACATAAGGCTTTGTGAAGATTGGTTTTTCAACAGTTGGTTTCGACTGGAGATACTTGTTGACGATTTCGATTGGATATTCCTGTTATTTCTACTCATTTTCCTTCGGTCTATAAGGCCACGTCACTCTTTTTTCACGTCTCTGCTGTCTGGATTATCTCAAGGGCTGTGGTTCTTGGCGAGTGGCACTTCACGTCACATGTAAAAAGCTTCACCTTGTTCCAAATATTCCATTGTTCTAACAAAGTTTTCAGAAACAGATAGATATCTTCATTATGGAAATCACTCTAGTCTGTATCCAGCCCCGATATAACGCACAAACACACACAGAACATCACGTGCATTAAAAAAACAACGCAGACAAACCACTTTTCATCACGGGAAAAAGAAGTAACATATCTACAAAACAATAAAACAAAAGCGTGTCTTGAAGAAGTTCTTGTCCTCGCTCACTGTCTTCGGGTGCTGTACACGACAATCACTCACACAAATTTCAGAATCACTGGAACGCGATTGCTCTCCCTCATCTGCACACTAATTGATGATGCTTTCGATCCATGGCTTGTAGTAGGTCATCTTCATGTAGACGCCGGGCAGGTTCGGGTACGCACACTTAATCCCGTGGGACACCGTGCCTGCCAGGACCCAGCGCCCGTCCTCGCCCTGCACCGAGAGGGGGCCGCCGCTGTCACCCTGGGGGAGAGAAGCTCATTTTAACACAAGGTCTTTGCTGGGCCACTTCTTACAAGTAATGGCTTATTCAAGTAGAAGAAACAATGTAATTTGTTGAAAGAAATATATACAATGAGGAAAAAGAAAACTTATGAAAGAAAAATGTGGCAAAAACAGAAAATTTATCTGTCATTCTCATAGAGTTTAAGAAAAAGGAAAATCTGATGGTGGAGAAAAATGATAAAGGAAATCACAACCAAATCACCTGTGCAAGTAAAATTCGGGATTTTCATACATAAATACCTACAAGCGTCTTTGTTATGAAGAAATACCTACCATCTGTATTGTCTCAAAGATAACCACAGGCCTATAACATTCATTTCAACATTTACATACATATATATACCTGTAGAAATTTGCACCATTTTTCACACACTAACCTCACACGAGTCCTTCTTTCCTTCTTTGTATCCAGCGCAGAAGAACTCGGGCTTGATGTTCTTGATGTGGCCCGCCTCCAGGAACCACTTCTGGCAGTCGTTGTTCTTGATAATTGGCACTGCTACTTCGTTCAGCTGCGTGGGGACTGGCCCTCCTGTAATGGGGACACGCACAGTTAGTTACGCAGATTCAATCACGCAGAGTTTATTATCTGCTATTCCTATCTGAACTCCCCTCATATTTCTTATATAGCCTACAGACTAGTTCATTTGAGTAAGATAATGGAAGATAACTGACTACGGTGCAATAATGCCTTACAGTTATAGATGTCTAAATTGTTCGAGGTTGAACAATTTCCATTTTGGATTCCAAGTAAAAAAAAAATCCTTCTGTCAGTCTAGGTACAACAATATTTCATCTAACTTTTTAAGTTAACAATATCTATGCGTTATTCGAGGTTAAAAAATCATATCTGTCATTTCAAACAAGCCATTTCTATGTGTTCTTCCAAGCTAAATAATATCCACTTATCGTTCCATGCTAACAATATCCATGTCATTCCAAACCAACCCCATTCATGTTATTCCACACTAACCACACTGACGTTATTCGAAACCAACCACATTCACGATATTCCAAATTAACCACATCCATATCATTCCACCCTAACTCCCTCCGTGTTTTATCCCAATCTCAAGGTTTTTCTCCCTATCAACCCAAGCCCTCAAGCCCCCCCAAGCCCGCCCCGCCGCCCACCGAACTCACCGTAGGACAGCCTCCCCCAGCCCGTGACGAAGCCAATCATGCCCGTGAAATTCTCGTCCCCTTGAGGCATGCAGATGGGGACAATATGCTCGTCGAAGGTCACGGGTCTCTCCATCTCGAGCAAAGCCAGGTCGTTGTCGAAGGTCTTAGCCACGTAGCCTCTGTGGACGACCACTCGTTTCACGTTGCGCTGGACGGTTTTCTTGGGCTCGTAGTCGTCCGAGAGGTCGAACTCGCCCAGGACGACGATGAGAGAGGCGAGGAACCTGTTGGGAAATGAAGGGTTGAGGAAGATGTCGTGGTAAGAGGTGTTACAGAGGTTAGTAACACTGAGATGACGTTGTTGATTTGTATTGGTTAATAAATATATTTTCAACGGGGAGAGGTAGTAGAGATACGAGTAATATTGTTGATTGATAATTTGTATTTGTTAATAAATATATTCTTAAACGGACAGAGTTTGTGGATGTGTATTTGTTAATAAATATATCTTCAATAACATGAATATATACGGGTACGAGATGGTAGAGAGGTGAGTAATAATGCTGATCGTTGATTTATATTTCAACATATCATCCATAAGTATACACGGGTAGAGATGGATAAGATGTGAGAAATACTACTGATTGCCGATTCGAACTTGGTATAAATGTATCTTCCTCACAAATTCCCTTTTTCCCTCTTACTAATGCCCTACTGATATCAACAATATCCTACTCATTATCCTTATTTTAACTCCTTCTCATGACCCTCCCGAGACCTTTGAAACTTACTCACAATCCTACCCAAACCCAGGATCCGTTCCATACCCCATACCTCAACCAACTATACACTATCCGATACCCCTACCCAATACCCTTATCCCTACCCATCCTCACTAACCCATACCTTTACCCAACAACTAATACCCTCAGCCTAATACCCTTAATTGTTGCCTTATATCCTCATACCCTCATACCCACCATCCCACAATGCCCACTACCACAGGTCCACTACTACCCTTGCTTGAAACCCCTACCCATGGCCTCTACCAAAAAAGACCAACTTACCACACTTATAATAACCATACTCGATACCATATACCCCGACTCACTACCTTAACACCTTATACCATCCTAGCCACATACTCCGACTCCTACCAAATACCTCTAACCACCATCCTATTATTTTACCTGATACCATATACTCGTACTTCTACCAACAGCCTCATACCCCTATCCTCTACCACGGAGAGAGAGAGAGAGAGAGAGAGAGAGAGAGAAAGAGAAAGAGAGAGAAAGAGAGAGAAAGAGAGAGAAAGAGAAAGAGAAAGAGAGAGAGAGAAAGAGAGAAAGAGAGAGAGAGAGAGAGAGAGAGAGAGAGACAGAGACAGAGAGAGAGAGAGAGAGAGAGAGAGAGAAAGAGAGAGAAAGAGAGAGAGAGAGAGAGAGAGAGAGAGAAAGAGAGAGAGAGAGAGAGAGAGAGAGAGAGACAGAGACAGAGAGAGAGAGAGAGAGAGAGAGAGAGAGAAAGAGAGAGAGAGAGAGAGAGAGAGAGAGAGAAAGAGAAAGAGAGAGAAAGAGAGAGAAAGAGAAAGAGAAAGAGAGAAAGAGAAAGAGAGAAAGAGAAAGAGAGAAAGAGAAAGAGAGAAAGAGAGAGAGAGAAAGAGAGAGAGAGAGAGAGAGAGAGAGAGAAACAAGGACATTCAGAGAGAGAGAAAAAAAACGGACAGACAAAGAACTAAAGAACTCAATAAACCAAGAACTCAAGAACTCAATAACAACAAAAACAAACAACAGCAAACCTCCAAGCCCAGCACTCTTACCCGGGCTGGCAGTGAGCCGCCGTGAGGACGTATTTCCTGTTGAGCAAGACGCCGCCGCACTTGTTCTTGGTGAAGATCCCAAGCCACGTGGACTCCTTGATCAGCGCCTGCCACGGCCACTCCGCGAAGTCCGCTCGTTCGCCGTTCACGATCCTGGCTTCGCGGGCGAGGGGGCGCACGCCACACGCTAAAGGGGGAGGGGGACAGAGAGGGAGAGAAAGGGGGCGGTTACGGCGGTGTGGTGGAAGGGGTCGTAGGTGGAAAGTGGTTGCAAGTGGAAGGTGGTCGAAGGTGGAAGGTGGGAAGTGTTCGCAGATGGAAGGTGGTCCCAGTTAGAAGGTGGATGGAGGTGGGAGGTGGATGGCGGGAAGGTGGTCGTAGATGGAAGGTGGAAGGTGGAAGGTGGTCGCAGGTGGAAAGTGGTCGCAGGTGGAAGGTGGTAGGTGGGAAAGAAGGTGGAAAGAATGATTAGGTGGGGATGGGGGTTTAGGTGGGAGGTGGTTCGAAGTGAGGGCGATTAGGTGGAGGGAAAAAAGGAGGTGGAGATGGTGGTGGAGGTGGTGATAATGGAGAAGGATGATGATGAGGAGGAGGGGGAGAAGGAGTTGGAGTAGGAGGAGGGGGTTGGAGTAGGAGTAGGAGTAGGAGGAGGAG